CTGACACTCCTTTTAGGAGTCCACAACCCCTCGTCCAGCTGCTGAGCAACTTTCCCTTCCTTGTCTTTTACTTGGTCCATATTAAATTTGAACTAATAAGTATTTTCTCAACTCTACAAATGTTAATATTACCCCAATTATGGATGTAATATGTTTGCCAATACTTTTCCCCAGGCAGTCGTCAATCCTACCAACACTTGTGTTACACAACTTTCCGGGTGCTATTCCCAGACCTTGTCACCCATCATTTTTAATTGGGGCCCTTTGAAAGTTTTAAGGCCAAAGTGAGTACAAAAGTCTGCAAAACAACAGGTGCCAGTCCAACTGCAGAGTAAAAACAATTAATCCTCCTGACAACCTTGTCAGGTTTGCTACCAAAGGTAGGCTACTATGCATGCACTATGCTGAAGGGTTTTTCACAACTTTGGGCAGAGAAGTCTGGGAAGTTTGGCTCTTTTCAGAGAGCTGGCTCTTCTGGCTGATGTTGTTTGTCTCTCAGCTAGTGTCACAGCCAAGTGGCCAACCCAGGAGAATAGACTCAAATGCAGACAGCACTCAGAGGCATGGAGAATAAGTGTTAGCAAGACTTTATTTACAAGGAGTGAAAATGTGCAACTGAATGTTTCCCAAAACTATGCACTTAGGAGCTTGGTGAGGTAAACTATGAACTATGACTGAAAGTCAATAAAGCCAACTAGAACAATACTATGATGTATAATTAGCTAGAACAGCATCGTGAATGTTATCATAAAAACATACAACTATGAACTATGAGCTGTGAACACACTGCATGCTATGAGAGAGCCCAGAGAACAAACCCTTAGGCTGGTGTAAGCAGGAGCCAGGGGTAACAGCCAGTACAAGAACCCTGTGGTGTGGGACTAAAGGGGAAGGCTAGACAGGAGAATGGTGCCAGGATTCTCGGAGTCACTGAAACAAGAGAGAAAAGTGTCAAGTGGGATTCCAGGCGTTAGATCCAGAGTGAACAGTCAAATTGTAAAGAGTCTTACTTGTCGCAGGCAGAGGTGAAGCGTGGAAGAGTAAGTGGTCTGAGTGAGCCGTTAGTGATATATGTCCAGAGCAGAGATGCAAGTGTTCAAGGCAGGCAAGTGAGTAAAGAGGTGAAGCTGCTGAACAGACCAGCACCTGAACAGAGGTTAGTTATGGCAGGATGGAAAATGGTGTCCGGAGAATTACTGTGAGCAGAGAGGGTAAACAGGTGAGTACGAGCAATACTATGATACGTTAAATTAACTACGACAGCAGAGCACTCACAATCACTCCTAGCCAGATCATCTGCTAGCCATTGTTAGTCTGGTCTTAAAAGCCGGCAGCCAAATTACTCACATTACTCACTTCACCCAGAGGTGGACTCACCGGCACAATGGAAAAGTCCGGCACTCACCTGGACCATGTCAGTTAGTATCTGCCCTGTTTTTGAGAAGACTCTCTCCAAAGGAACAGATGTTGCCACTATGCACAGTCTCCCCTCTATCACCTTCACCAGGCATGGAAAGACTGTGGCCTTGGCCTGCCACCAACTCAGCGGGTCTTCTCCACATTGGATGAAGGGGTACTCAAGATCGCATCTCCATTATAACGTCAGCTGTATGTTACGAACTTGCATGGTCATGTGTTTGTTTTGTGCAGGTGATATATCTTTTTATGTTAATTCAGCTGTGCCAGGGCCCTGCTCTGATTGGTGTGTGGATACACCGCCCCTACGTGACTGGTTCCAGCTGGAGGACCCGCCCATTAAAAGGAGGCTGGAGTGCTACGCTGGGAGAGGTCCTTGTGTTTCTCCTCATGACCTGTGGCAGCCGCTGGCTGCAGTGCGGCTTAAAAGTTGTGGAAGTGGAGTGGGTAGGGGTGAGCTGCCGTTTCTTTTGATCACCCGTTTTCTCCTGTTTTGAATTGGTTAAGGAGGTCAGACTCTGTCTTTATTTTTGACTTTGTTTTGGTGAGGTCAGGGGTGCGGGATTTGTGTAGATTTGTTCTGTTTATTATTTTGGCCTTGGCTCACCCTGAAGTGTTGACACTCCTGTTTTGTTGTTCTTTTTTTTCCACATTGTAAATAAATCACATTATAACGAACGGATTTGTTTCCTGTGGCTGCTTGGGTCTTTGGGGGGGGGGAAGCGAGTGCCTCACTCATGTTATTGCCTGGCCCTAGACGGGTCGTAACATGTAGTATTTCTCTTTGTAGCATCTCCTGTAGCTCTTTCATTTCTGAATGGAAGCTTTTTAAACCTAGGATCCAGTAATGCAGTTTCTGAGAGGACAGTGTTGAAGTCCATACGCAGATATTTTCGATCCATGGTTGAACAAAGATCCGCAACCAATTCCTTTACTTTCTGCACGGTTACTGTCAGTTGGTGTTGGGCTGTCACTGGCTGAAGACCTTTGCTAAGCAGGAGCATTTTGGAGGCTGTGACATAGCTGAAGGAAAGAAAACAGCAACTTTTAAAATTAGTTTTGTTTTTTAATTATGTGGCATATTTAATTTTTCAATTTAGTTTTGTCAATCATATGTGTTGTTTCTGCAATGTATATTAGTGACTGAATAGTAGTAGAGAAAAAAACAACTGTGCAAGGTACCTGTCTGTACTTATCTCAACAGTCACTTCCTCAAATGGTTGCAGGACGGTGCAGACGTCTTTCACCAGCTCCCATTCCTCTTGACTTAACGTATCAACAGGTGCACTGATCAGGGCCATGGTGGAGATACTGGCATCTTTTGTTTCAAGAATGCCTCAGTTCAGGTAACTCCATCTGGCGCTGTGTGGACTTTAGCCTCTTTGCAGCTACTGTGCTTCTGTGGAAAAACTCCACATTAGCCTTTACCTTGTCCACGGTTGTTTTCACCACCTTCAGGGAATCTCTTATCAACAGGTTTAATGTATGTGCCAGACATGGGTGGTGGGTCCACTTCAGAATTTTTATGGCCTTGGTGATGTTTGCAGCATTATCACTCACACATCACACCACTTTGTCCTGTACTTGCCACTCATTTGCCACTTTTAATAGCTCCTCTACCAACATTTCTGCAGTGTGTCTGTCAGTGATGTCAAAGCAGTCCAGCAGACAAAGATGTCATCTTGTAATTTTCAATAAAGTGGAGGAACTTTTCACTCAGTCTTTTATTTACCGCATGTTTTGTGTGTTTAAAACTTGGGAATGTGTTTAAAATGAGCAGCATGCAGCCTGCTGTACTAAAATCACTGATTGAAGGGCAAACAGTGCGTAGCATTGTCACAGATGCGTGTATTAATTTGGTGATTTATTAAATGTGGCCAATAGATGTTCTGTTTGATCCTAATCTGCTGCTGAGTTTTTTACGCTGATGGAAGTGCAGATAACTCAGAACAGACATCATGAACACCAGTTCAACCAATCACTTTCATTCCACTTTAGAGTAGGAACATACACCTTATGATTTATGACAAAAAAAAGTTTACTTTTATGACAAAAAGTTCACTTTTTTGACCAAACATTCCACCTTTTTAGTCTCAGCACTCCTCGTGCTGGCTGCTGTCTGGCGCTCCACACTTCTACTGGGGACACAATAGACGTACCCGTCAGGACAGATATAACCGCGGGCATACACACACTAACTCAGTTCAACTGGATGACTAACGTGGAGTCTCATGGAAGGATCCCGCGTCAGTGGGAGCTCCAAGACTCCCCTAAGTAGCTCCCCCGACGAGGCCTGATCAGCAGCAGGTGCGTGGCAACACCAAATATACATACAATAATAATATAATTCATAACTGCTCAGGGATCCTGGGTCGCTCAGACCCAGGACCCTGACAAAATGCGTCTTCACACATTGGGCCGTGCAGATAAACTGACATTCGCTCTGACCCCATGTTGGGTTTGTTGATTGGGGAACACTTTGAAGGAACAATGGGCTGGGAGGTTGTTTCTCCTACGGAAAGCACTACGTCCAGATGAACAGAATCGACTTTTGGAGATTTACTCACCTGGATGACTGAGAATGCATCAAGAAGACATTACATTTGTTGCACATTACTCTAAAATCACTTTTATGAGAGTGACTTTTAGATAACAACCTGATTTAAAACAGAATCTAGCATAAACATTCTTTCCCTTGGAAATAACTCTAAGATATTAAGAGAATATAGCAAATGAGATCACAGGATGGCCAAAAATGTACTTTCAAATGAGATCTTCTTGTTTCATTGGAACAGCAAAGCACCATAAGAAAGAATAAGTAGCCTACACCTATGTACAAACAAGTATCACTGCTATGGAGTTTTCATGTTCTGCATGCAGACTCGGGGCTCCAAGTCTCCTCTTGGCATTCTCTTATTTAAACACTGATGACTTATAACCTCAAAGTTTAGCAGCACAACACAGTGTTTCCTTTTCCATCAGACATTTCTTTCAGTCTTTATTTCCTCAAATCAAAGGGCTTGTGTTTTGGTATTTTTGCTACTGAAAGGCATACAAGTAATCTAAGAAAAGCATGAGTCAGAAACTTTACGTCCTGCAGAAGCGGCAAAGAAGGATGTGCCGCTACACCGGAGACTGAATGGAAATAACTAACCAAAAAGCTGAGAAGGTAAACTCACGAGTTTCATGAATAGTAGTCCGACTCTAACTAGAAGCCAAATAATCTGCAACGTCTGATTAAGCTCTCAAATGCATAGCCAAGGGGGGGGGACTAAGAACATATACAAGTCCTAATTTGGACTTCTATAATTACCTGGATGCTCGTATGGGTTGATAACCTAAGTCATTAAATATCTATCCATCCTCTTCCGCTTCTAAACTCTCATTACAGTTTAGAAAACAAGAAATCACTGATTCACAGAGAACAGTCTCACATCAAGGGTTGAAAAGATTTATTTGAGTTACACAGCAGGTAACAGGTTACAAGCATAAATGTGTCATTCTTCATGCCATTATCATTTTGAATATACAGTAAATAACAAAAAGTACATATTGATTTTCTGTGAAGGTTATTTGGATTTAATTTACAAAAGAAAAAAAAAGTGAAATAAAATAAGAACAAGACAAAAATCAGTACAATAAAGTTTCTGATGAAATTCACTTTTTGTGTGACTGTGATTGTAATGATAGCAAAGCAAAATAACCTGAAGAGTAACTGAGCATTTTCATTTTCTATCCCCCTCAAACATTTGTTACAGGCCAGGATTATTCAACCCAACAATATACACTCAAGTATATAGTGGGATGAAATATCGTCCTCCTGGACCATTCATTCAATCATTCATATCCTGGTCATTCAGGTAGTCCTCTCCATAGTCAATGATCTTTTTCAGTGCACACAGTATCAGTGAATCCATGCTGTCATCTGTCACAATTTCTTTGTGGTAGTTCTTCACGAGGAAGATGCAGTTCAGTAGAATACCCAGGCTCCTGTTTACTGTTTGCATCTAAGTTTAAAAAATATTGCATTTAAAAAACTGAAACTGTATTGCTGCACTAGTGACATGATTATAAATTATTTATTGAATTATTTGTACTGCTTCCATCTGAGGTTTCTGTACAAATATACTGAAATGTCCAGCTGAATTATAGATGTTAAATACAAGTGTAAACTGTCTACAAGCTCATGAAAGTTACTTCCTGGAACATACCTGGTCATTCAAGTACTTGCTCCTGTAGGCGTTCTTTATGTTTTTTTTTACTTCGGGACAGGCTTCATCAATTTTGGTCATGATGGCTATTTGTGGGATCCCTGCCAATACAGAAAGCAATGCAATCATTTGATCTCATGTTTTTCTAGTATTTGAAATCGTGACATCATACATGTAGAACATCTGCTCTCACCTTTGTCACGAGCATGTAGTCTGACTTCTTTCATCTTCCTCCAAGTTTCATCACTGATCATGCTCACTGTGTCAGCAGGAATAACAAAAGCCAGAATGTGGACTTTGTCATCTAAAGTAGGAGAACTGTTGTAGTTAGGATCCGATTCACGCAAGAGAGCTGTGGGTTTGAACTGGGGGAAAAAAGCAAAATCACTTAAACCTTTTTGCACGATACAGTTTCTGTATCACAGACTGTGTACAAGCATCTGGATGAAAAACATCATACCGTGTAACCTTCTTTGACATGTCCACTAATGGCAAGTTTGATGTCTTCTACATGAATTCCTCTCTCAGCGCCCCTCTCAAGCCCCATGGTGTCATTGAAGACAAAAGAGTAAAAAGTTTTTGGATTTCCTTTCTGAATTTTAAATGTCCTGTACTGTAAATAAAAAATGTGGTGTTGTTATATTAGTGCCAGATACTAAAGATCTTAACAGTTTTCAAAATAATTGACACACTAGTTGTGCTGACTATTTTTCACTCTTTTATAGTTTAATGCTTATAAAGCAGCTACCACTGCAGTGTGCTCCTGTAGTCATAGAAAACCTTAAAGGAAATGAGTGTGCAACTATGATAAGAATAGATACATCCTCATACATACTGTTGTAGTGAAACTGTCACCAGAGGTTGCATCTGCCAATGCTCGAGTTGCGATTTTGCCTCTTAAAGTACTGTCCACAGAGTTGATGAAGCTGGACTTTCCAGCACCTGGTGGTCCATGAAGCATAATTCTGAGATGCTGGACATCTTTGTGAGGCTTGTAATCTCTGACAAGCTGCAGGTCTCGCTCTCTTTCACTGTTCATTCAGAAAATTACAATAGGATTTAGTGTGCACTTACAGTTTACACAACAGTGTTATGAACAAACACAAAATAACACAACAAACAAACAAAACACTTGAGGGGTGTACTACTGAGACAGGCTGACATCTGTTTTCTACTACCTGCAATTTCAGAAGCCTGAAATAACCAAATAAGCATTTCTGTGTCACCATGTGAAACTATGTGAATTCCACATTGTGACTCAGACGTTTGTGCTGCTGTAACAATTTGAATATATAATATTTAATAGCAGAGAATCACTTACACTGACATCAGAATGAGCAAAAATGTGACACCCACAGATGGGTTTAAAGTAAATTGAAGAACATTAAACATAAGTTAACAAATGATCAAACAGGTCAAAAGACTTTGATTTTCCATCCATCCATCTTCATCCGCTTTATCCGAGGCCGGGTCGCGGGGGCAGCAGCCTAAGCAAAGAGGCCCAGACCTCCCTCTCCCCAGCCACCTCCTCCAGCTTATCCGGGGGAACACCAAGGCGTTCCCAGGCCAGCCGAGAGATATAATCTCTCCAGCGTGTCCTGGGTCTGCCCCGGGGCCTCCTCCCAGTGGGACATGCCTGGAACACCTCACCCAGGAGGCGCCCAGGGGGCATCCTTGTCAGATGCCCGAACCACCTCAGCTGGCTCCTTTCGATGTGGAGCAGCACTTTGATTTTGTGATATAAAATTGTGACTCTAGGATTAACACAGAGTTGGTGAAAAGGTTTTTTTAATTAATTCTAGTACACCTCTCTAATTAACCACACTTTTAACACTCACCCCCATAGTATGATCCTCTCTTCTGCCTTTAACACTATAAAGTGAAAATGTAAATTCTATTAGTCACATTGGAAGCACAACATTTTAAATTAATTACACATCATTATGTGTTAAGGCTGTTACACACTGAACGCGTTGTGTTTTTGAGGACAATTCCTCCTCAATAAACGCACTGTGAAAACTAAAATTGAAGCCGACGTCAAACTATGACGAGCTGAGAAAAGTAAGAAACTAAGAAAACAGCAGCAGGGAGAATTTAACGGTTGGATCCAGGAGCTGAAGCTGTGTGTTCGTACATAGTTCAGGATGTCAGTGGGACAGTTTGAGGCGAGGCAGGAAAATGATTTTACTGAGCCGCATTGTGTAGCTGTGTGTCTGAGGTAAATAGTATTACGTGACTATTTCCATTTGATTGTGTATTCAGTAGGCGTGCCGTGTGAGTTTAGAGTGCACTCGTTGTCTGACGCAGTGGCCTTGTTATTCAGGTCATTTTATTCACATCCTAAAAATCTGACAAATCGATCTTGAATTGCAAAAATAAATAAATAAATAATTTCATCAATTCTGCTTTTTACCCATGGATTTCAGTAACGTTGCTCTGCCTGTAACCAATTGCGCCTCGCCCAAAGTTCCAGTCCAGGAATTTTGTTTACATTTCCTGGAATTGTTCGGCTCTAACGGTCAGTGTGAACAGCTGCAAAAAGAACAGATGAGTCTGAACAATATTTTTAAGATAGGAAATATTTTCACAGATTTTACACGTCCGGTGTATAAAAGCCTCAAGTTTTGTCTTCGAGATTTTGTATCATATTTTAAATATCTTACGAGGAGGTGGTGAGCGATTTCCTGCAATTGAAATATGACAAAGTAAAAACATGTTAGCAACATTTTTCCATATTCAGTTCAGTTCTATTAGATTTTAAGTTAAATGAAATGTTTTTTTGACTTTTAAATCAAAGGACGTTATGAACAATGAACAACAATGAATATAATATGAAAAAAAAGCTTACCTGACAAGATATTTTTAATTTTTTCCATTTTTTTTTGTCATCAACTAATTGTGAATTAAACAAACAGAAAAGATAGTAAATTAAAAAATAGTAAATTCTTTAAATTCTTCAAGAAACTACATTCTTTTAACTTAATCTGAACCAAATGGCAGAGATGACTCAGTCCGGTCAATTTAATAATTTAATAACTGGATTTCTTGCATTGGATTATTAACACAATGTTACCGTACCTGAATGTCCAACTGTGCTGTGAAGTTGTCGTCCCTTGGTTTATTGTTCACACTGGTGTTGATGACGTGTGACTTTGGATTTATAAATGTCCTTTCACTTTCTTTTTGGGTCATGTGACTTCTATTATTCTCTCTATCTGATGGCAGTCTAATGTAGTTGTAGCTGCATAGCTTCTTAATTTGTATGTGTCACTAACATCTATTTCTTAAAATCTAAAACTTGCTTCTGTCATAATCCCGGGATTTTTACCCAGCGTTTTCAGTTTTAGCCTTTGTTGCAGTTTTCAGTTTGAATATTACCTTTTATCATCTGCTCCAGATATATTTTCATTCTGATTTAGTATTTATAGTTTTCTTTGTTAGTTATTCTCAAGTTTTTCCTTTTCGTCTACTGGATGTTCCTGATGTTTTTGAGAATCTATTGTGTTTGAGTTTGGCTTTTTGTATATTAGGTTTGTTTAGTTTCCTTTAGAATTGATTATATCATCTGTAGTTTCTCTTTATAATGCAGTTTATCTACTTGGTTTTTATTATTCCAACTTACCTTCTTTTATGATTCTTTTCTGTTTCCTATTTGTGTCCCTGTATCTGTCTTGTCTCTTTGTGCTCTGGTTGTCTGTTTCCCTATTTATTTGTCTCCCATTCAGTCATTTCCCCCTTCCTGTTGACTGTATGTGTGTTTGTGTTACTTCCTTCTTTACTTTGATAGTCCAAGTGCTTGATATTGAATTTTACTCCCCTCATCTAGTTAATCCTGATTTGTTCCTTGGTGTTTCGGTTTCATCTGCATTTATCGCCCTCCCCTGTCTAGTACTCCTGTTCTCCTCTATGTAAGTTAACCCCATTGTCTTGTTATTCATTCTGCAGTTATTGTCTCCATCTTCCACTGTCCTTTGTCATGTCCTATCGTCATAATTTTACGTTACTTGTTTCCAATTTTTTGCACTCCGCAATTTTCCCTAGAACAAAAACTTGGGAACACAGAGCAAGGAGTGCAAAACTATTCCTGGCTCCAGTGTTCCTCTGATTTTGCATCTGTGTTTTGATGAAACATTCAAGCTGTTAAGTTCATCTCCGGTTTCTCAAGTTCTGCAACCATTTCTGTACACAGGACTAAATGAAAAACATTCAACTCTACTCCATATGGTATATAATGTATGTGAAAAGTAAAAAACATCATGTTGGCAAGTTTGTGTTAATAGGAATGAACAAAAAAAGTTATTGATTGAAATAAAATGAATTGATCTTCAAAACTGGAAAGGAACATTGTGATAAGGAATATTAAAAAACTTTTTAGCAGAATGATATAATGAAATTAGCGTAATTGTTTTTTATTTTCTAAAGAATATTGCAGCGGTTTGAGATGACAATTTTTAAGCTTGTAGTGTGAGTCACAAAAAAGAGAAATTCATTGAGAATTTCATATCATTATGATATCTGTTATCATATGTGATATCAGATATGATTGTTTTGTAATTTTTTGTTTATTAAGTTATCACATTACTTTCAAATTATTCAATTTGAGCAGAGTTGTGCTTTAATTTCTCAAGAGTATGGCAGCAGTTTGACATTAAACAGATGAACATCTGCACAAATGTTTAGTAGGTGAGGAAGAAGAAGAAACACTTAGATTTTCATGAGAATTATCAAAGATTTTCACTGAATTTTTGATATGTCATCACATTCTATTGAACCTGTTTCATTTGAGCATAAAGGTCATTTAAGTTCTCTGGAATCATGCAGTCGTTTGAGATAAAACTGCACAGATATAGTGTGGAGCACCTGGGACCCTGTTCTTGACACATACTGTAGCAGGGTCTAGCAGTCTGGCATGCCAGGCTTCTCATTGCCTCTTGTAAATGCTGTTAAACAATGTTCTATTTAGAGCTCATGATGTGGATGACTGATTTATCATGGATTGTGTAATTTCATGAATATGTAATTTCATGTTAAAAATGTCTTCATTTAAAATGTATATGTGTAATGTGTAAGGGCTAATGTCTCATGAGAACACCCTTAACAAGATTATACAAGAGAGAGTACAATGAGAGAGTATATTTCTTTCTTGGACTGCGGGTGAGCAGATGTCACTCATGAAGCTCTGCTAAGCTAAACTAAAGGTTTATTGAAATCAAGGCAAAGTAACACAAAGACATCAGGACCTCTTTTCAGGACAAGCGGTCAACGAGGTATCTCTGTCTTTATTTTATGTTTGGACTAAATATATGTACTGTAAAATTGCTAATGTGTGTGTACCGTTCACTCAATTTAAACAGTTCTCACTGTGTATTGGCATAATGGTGTACTGGCGTTAAGGCCTGAAGACTCGATGGTATAACTAAAGAGCAGAGAAAGCCCAAGTAATAAACCCCTGTTTCAAAGAACCGACCTGTGTCTGTGTTGTAGTGAAGAGAGCTACACCTCTCGGCCTTTGGGACTCCTGAGAGATGTTATTGCAGTTTCCGACCCTCATTATCAAGTACATTTTGTGACAAAAACACTTGCTGTTCATGGAGGTGCTGTGTGGCAAGCAGAGGTAGGACCCAAATGCAGGACTCGGAAACAAAAGGTAGTAAACTAAAGATTCAAGAGTCAAGAAGCTTATTGTGATGTACACTGCAAAATACAGATGGTTATGCAGAGCAATGAAATTCTTACTTTGCAGGTTCCCTTCACACAACAAATTTACAGTTATGGATAAGTACAGTTCGACAGTAAGTCAGAGATTTAGTAGCCTGATGGCCTGTGGATAGAAACAGTTTCTTAGTCTGGTGCTCCTTGCTTTCACATTTAGGCAGCATCTGCCAGATGGCAGGAGTGTGAACAATGTGTGCTGTGGGTGGGTGCGGTCCTTGATGAACCCCTTTTCCTGACCCAAGTGTTGTAAATGTCCTGTAGTGATGGGAGGGGTACTCCACAGATGAGTTGTGCCATTTTAATGACACGCTGGAAAGCCTTTCTGTCCTGAGTGGTGCAGTTCCCGTACCACACTGTGATGGAGTTTGACAGGATACTCTCTGTGTGGAGGATTTTTGTATGATATGTATAACTATGTAACTATATACTCTATATCTCTATGTGCACTGAACATATATATTTTAACTTTCACATAGAGTCTTAAGCACAAGACATTTTGCTTCACCGTGGTTTATTAAGGTTTTACAGTAACAGGGCAGTTGGCAAGCGGACTGAGGTATGTGATGAGAGGTGATCTGTTGTTATATTTTATTTAACTGAACTGTGTAACCCCTTGATGCTGTTTGAAGTAACCCCTTTTGTTTTATTTAATCTGTGACTGTATATCTCAGAATTACTTGTTTGAACTTGCCTGAATTAACTTAAGCTCATTGTTGTTATTGCTCATTGTTATAGTTCAAAAAGTACTGTACGGGTATCAATTTTTTCTTATTTTATAGTTTTCACGGTGCTCAACGTCCAGAGAATGAGCCGTGTGTGGTGAGGAAATAAATGGCTGCACCCGTTAGAGACTCTTCTGTCGTTCTTGATGCCAAGGGCTGCTACATCTAACAGGTCGGCAACCTGCGGCTCCGGAGCCGCATGCGGCTCTTTTTGTCCTTATACTGCAGCTCTAGGTGGTTTGGGAAAATAAATTAGAAGTATTTAGCTGAAGTGTATTTTATTTGTGTTTAGTTCTTTTTTTAACTTGTAGTTCTAAATTGGAAGATTATTGTGATTTTGAAATATAAAAATAAAATTATATTTATTATTTTTTCATCGCTCAAAATAAGCGTCACACTCGCGGAAGCCGGTGTACCGAAACGCCGTGCATTTATCGAGACTTTCGACCCCAGGTAGGCCAATTATGGATCTTCGGATCCACATTATGTCAGCAGCTCCACCGTGAACTATGTTAAAAACAAACACCGCTCACGCCTCACAGACGACAGCTTACAGTCCTGTAAAGATGAAAGTGACTTCGTACAGCCCCGACCTGCAGACGCTGTGCGCAGAGGTTCAGGAGCAGAAGTCCCGTTGTAAACATATCACGGCAGACCCGACGATGTTTGCATGAACACGCTTTTCAGCATCTCTTTATTGACCACTTTTCACACACGGTTGCTGTACGCACACAGCCGGCTGTAGCTTTTCAGCTCACAGCCCGACAACACAACAGCAGAGAGAGCACAGCCTTTAAGGCGGCGAGGCGCGATCGCGGGTGCCGCTCAGGTGCGTCCGCCTCCTGGGTGGGAGCTGGGTGTCTGTCCTTTTGTTATATTTCTTTAAGAGTTCAAAATGTGTTAATTACATAAATAAAATGTAATTTTCTCTGTAGCACTTCATGGATTTCATAAGCAACACACCTTAGTTGCTCTGTGGATTCTTTTAAAAAGCAGTTAAAAACTTTTCTGTTCAAACAAGCCTTTTGTTGATCTACGTATTTTATATTCTTTACATTATTTACATTTGATCTTTTACATTGTGTATAATGTCTATTGATTGTATTGTTTATTTTAATATTTGTGTACAGCGCTTTGTGACTGCCTGTCTGTGAAAAGCGCTTAATAAATAAACTTTACTTACTTACTTTAGTTGTTCACACAAAGCATAAAAGTAAAAAACAATATATACAGTGTTATCTTCATTTTAGATTTCAAAAAGTATTTGCGGCTCCCAGTGTTTTCTTTTGCGTGGAAACCGGGTCCAAGTGGCTCTTTGGGTGTTAAAGGTTGCTGACCCCTGATCTATACCATCTAGGAAAATCCCTGTATTCAATGGCGATCCTCTTCAGTACATCTCTTTCATCGGCGCGTTTGAACAAGGAGTGGAAAAAATTGTATTGTATTGTACTGTATTATTTGGAACAGTTTACAACATGACAGCCAAGAGAGCTAGTACACAGTTGCCAATATATGGCTGCAGGAAAAGGCTATATACAAGCAAAGCAAATGCTCAAAGAACACTGGAAATGAATATAAACTCGCAACTGCGTACATTGAAAAAACATTATCCTGGCCTGCCATTAAAAATGAAGATGTGAAATCATTGCAAGCACATTCTCTGTTCTTACATGGGAGTTGTAATGTCATGAAAACCCTGCAATGTATGCAGGAACTGGATATGCCAAAGAACATGAAAATCATTTTATGCAAACTGCCATACAAAATGAGAGAGAAATGGAGCCTTTGCATATGATATACTGAAAAATTCTAAAAATTTTCAAATTCTTGTGGATCCTTTATTTGGGG